TATGAGTAGCAGTGCCAACTACTTACGTTTCGTACTTTCAAATTTTCGATCTTGCGTCTGGTCAGCTTCATGGCTTCATCATCATATAGTCATGGAGGAAAAGTGGGAATGTTTTCTGCTCTGACAAGTGCGCCAAAACTGCAATATAATTTCAGAATCATGACATCACCACCTGATCCATATGCAACGGGCAGGGTGCAGCTAATGGCTAGCCGTCAGTGGTCATGTCATCGGTGGTCACTCAAAAGGTCATGCTAGGTCATGGAAGGTCACCAGCCGTTATTTGATCACACTTTCTGATGGATTTTACTTACCAAGAGCTTCAAGGGAAAAACGAGCGCATGCCGCATGCACCGTTGAAAAAATTGAGTGAAAGGGTCTCAGGTCCGGCGACCTCTGCAGGTGAAGTGCCCCAGGGTAGGATTCCGGTCCTTGTTGATTAACTTCGTCAAAAATTGCGGTACATAGAGCTGTGATGTCGGCACCATTGTGTTCGTCATGATCGAGCTGTCACGACCTGCATCGTTCTCATATTCACCCTCCAATCGTAACAACTACAGCAGGGATTGGCAAATGGCGTGGCACCCCTTTGGGAGGTAATGAAGGTCTCTTGAAACCTCATCCCTCATCTCTTTAGCATCAGTGGCTCTCCTTATGGAACAGGTTTCTTGACTGGTCTGTTTCACCCCAGAATTCAAAGACTAGTCAAGGTAAAACCGAGCGCACCACAGTGAGCACAATTTGATAAGCTGGTGTATCTCAATTTCATGTAGAACCTTTCACGTATCACGTACCTAAAACCCTTTCGTGCACTCATGCAAAAGCAACTGCCATGTTTCAACAGCTGGTAATGGCATTTTCACAGCCGCTGACGTAAGAAGGGGAGGGAAGGGGGCTTGATTAGACCCCCAGCCGTTCGGCCGCCGACCGAACTTAGTTTTGCAGAAAAAAAAACGAGTGCTATCGAACCCCTTGACGAGAGGGTGCCGATGCTACCCAATTATAAGATCTTGGGCTACGGCGTGCTTTTTTGGTCCTGCCTGTGATCTATCCGAACACTTCTGCCCACAAGTGCTGGGTTAAATGGCATATATTTCAAATGGTTCCTGTGGTAGAGCTGCCATGCTTGAATTTGACTAATTAGGAATGGAAAATATCCATATAGTAACGGAAATCTATGGAATTTCAGTAAACTTGGTTTTGTCGGCAATGTGGTCTGGCAGTGGGGTGGGGGAGGTAATAAACCCTGTCTGGCGCCCCAAAAAGGGGGGGGGGGCACGATCCCCGAGGCCCTGCCGATCACCTTATGACTACAGGCATCACAGCTCCACACCTTTTGCAGATGGCCAGGACCCCCTGCGATACATCCCAACAGCAATTTTTATTCAGAACCTGTCTGGATTAACCAACGATGCATTAAATGCGACGGATAACTCTACAATGCATTATTATCAACTATTGAACGGACCTCGCCGATAGGGGGGTACTGTACCCCCCTAACTTTCGATAGCGGGGGACCTGTCCCCCCCGTCCCCCCCGGTGGCGCCGCCCATGCATTCTACGAGTCAACAATAGCAAACAGAGCTACAACCAAGATATCACAGCTTCTGCCGCTTCTGCATAAGATCACCCTTCCCTTACAGCGATTTTACTTCAGCGACGGAAAGCATCAAACTAACGATGGCAGGTGCATTGTTGACCTTAGACTAGCGAATGTTTCATTACACCCATTCCTGTTGACAGAGCACACATCCGAGCAGCTGGTGGTGACTCATTTCCGCTCAGAAACTGATAAAACTAAACGTCTAGAAACTAGAGATTATAAAAAAAACTAGAGACAACTAACTATGCGTGAACTTGCGTGCATCGTTCAACTGTATTCAGCTTACATATGGAACCCGCAGGACCGTTGGCCGTCTCCCAGAAGCGGGTCCGTCCTCTCCACTCCCTCCCGGCGCTCCCAGACGAGCCCCTCCCCTCCCCAGGACAGCCGTGGTATAGGGATGACATTCTGATGAGTTATAACGACGGCTGAGCCCAATGAAATGCAATGGCCTATCCGCATGCGATTGGGAGATCAGCGTTATGCTCACACAAATCGATACGGCTGGGTCAGGGCCGGTCGAGGACGACCACAGATAGAAGACTGCAGGGTTGTTATAAGCCGTTCGTGGCTGTGATACGACAAACATTCGGCAAATGCATTTAGATCAGTGCACATGTTTTTATTGCTGGCAAGGTCCATGAGCTTTTATTTTCTAAACATTTTTTTAGGAAGATTCAGGATTGACTGAGATGATGCAGCTAATGTTCTGAAGCTGACCACATTCACATTCATCCGTCCAAGCGGTTTTCTGTAGTCAATAAGATATGTTTGATGAAATGAGCACCGACCCTATACCCATAGATAAACAGGTACAGCCAATAGTTTCATTTGTCAACTGCCACGTGATTATCCACACAAATATCCCAACGAATGATCTAACGAATTTGATATGGGTTTGAATACCGTAACCATAGCGAGCTTGAATGGTGATCTGTTACTCGCATCAGTTCAAATATTTGAAGGAGCATGTTTTGCTTATATGCTGGTGACTCATGGTGAGTTCGTTTTTTTATAGATTCATTGTAGTAAGAAGGTCTCGATGCCTGCTCATCTATCTGTTTACAAAGAAAACCAACAGCGTTCGGTCAAGCATAAGCGTACAAAGATATGCTCATCTTAAGGCCGCCCCACACTGGAACTCGCATACGGGTTGCGAGTTTGCGGGTTTTGAGTTTGCGGGCATAATACTAATTCATAGAGTGATTAGACCGCTCCCTTATGGTAAATTCATGAATGCAGTGAAGCCGGTACACCTTCAGAAACTTACATATAGTCGCAATACCAGCACAACGAACCAAAATTCGACTCCAAAGAAAAACCCGCAAACCTCGCAGAACTCGCAGACCTCGCAGCGAGGAAAATCGAAAGTTGACTCAAAATCAACTCTTGGAATGCGATGCAAGGTCGCTCGCAAGCTAAAAATATGCAGACTCGCTTGTTAGACGGTAGTGTGGGTCACTCAGCTTAGATTGTATCATTTGATTTCGAAGAAACCCGAAAATCCAAAAGCTCGCAACCCGCATGCGAGGTCCAGTGTGGGGCGGCCTTTAGCCTAGCAACTGGAAGGGCAGCCTCAAAACTCGGATCAAAGTTTACCGCTTTCTGACGTTGGATCGTGAGTCACGTGATTGCTGACGTCATTCGTTCTGTTTATCGCCCGCGCTGCCGATCAAAGAGCGTCTTGACGTTACAGCAAGATGGCGGCATTCATTCCGAAGATATCGATTAGAATTAACTGTTTTAGCGAGTGCTCTGAGGTTTGTGTTTACAGCCCCCTCCCCCCCCCCCCCAGCAATAAAGACACTTTTAGGATTGAAAGTGAGCTCCATCGACCGAAAGAAAGTCAGGATGCCTCGTCATTGTTAAATATCCCCGCACCTGCAATGGCATAAATAATGAAACCGTGACACACCGGTTAAATTTGTAACTCTCATTTAACACATCGGGCATAATATTAAAACCTCTCCTCCGGGCTCCGCTTAACAAGAACCAGAAACTAGGAAACAGCGGTGTTCTGTTAATGCGTCCAGAGATTTACGTTATCTGTGCGTGACAGTTGACAGCCTCCGTCGTCACGCAACGTTGAAAATATACACTTTACAACGTACTTTAGAGACGCAACCTATATGATGAGCGGGCCACTGACCGTAACGGCACATGACAGACGAAACGCTCCATGGTGAATGCTGCTCCTTCGGCACGCCATCTTAATGGATTTCATGTCAAATGATGGTCGCCGGCGCTCGTCTCCGTGCCGTTTCCAAGCCCGTTTAATTGACGGTTTCTTTGGTGACACAGCTCGAACTGGATCCATTCCGCCTTCAGTCCTCAGCAGTTCCGGGTCATTTAACGACGGTATAGCCCATTTATAACTTGAATAACGACGAGAAATCGGTTAACACTATTATGAGGGTATCAAGACTCCGTGACGTACGTACGCCCCCTGTCAAAAAGTGTAAAACCACGGGTTATGTTGATATTCTACTACGAGTACGAGCACAATGATGTCCTACATACATAGAGTTAAATACATTTGAAGCCATCCCTGCTAACATGTGCCTATATAAACATTAATAATGAAATTTTGACCGAAGCATGCGGTTCTTGCACTGAACTCTAATATATACTGGAAGGAGCATTGGTGACTTGTTTTTGTCTATCGATTTCCGCCATGTTGTGTATACCAGAAATATAAATTGCATGTACGGTAGCAGAGGTGCAGTTTAGTGAGAGGTACACAACTCAAAAGTGCTGCTGCTTCATGCTTGCAGTTTGATTGCAGTGATCAACTTTTCAAGACTTTGGTATACACAACATGGCGGAAATCGTTAGACATTCTGGCCCATATACGGCCAAGGTGAGTGCCTCCCCCTGGGTTCTTGTCATAGTGCTAATACAGCGCCTACATTCGTTACATGATCTGTGTTATGAGGTTATCGGTGGAGCCAACAAATAACTAAAAGTGCACTTATGTACATTTGTTGGCTCCACCGATAACCTCATAACACAAATATGTCCCTAAAAAGAAGTTACATGATCTGTTTATCTTCTCAGTAGAAGTTGATCTTTTCCCAGCTTTGATCACTATCCTCATTGTCTTTAAAACCCATTAGCCCATTATCCTCATTTCATTTTATCATCTTGAATATCCGCACCTTCTCTGTAGTTGGCTATCTTCCTGGTCTTCCTCGTGGGTAAACGTCTAGCCAGCGTGCTTTTCCTAGCGATATGGATGATTGGAGTGGGCCTGCGATCGCTCATCGTTGCCTGGCTATTTTCCTATGACGGATAGGTCCCACGGTAGTGGCCTAATTATATGAGCTGAAGAACAGGCGTCGGCCGAAACCATTACTCTGTTGGCTGCCACCACGTGTCGGTATGCGTCGGACCGAATATGCGTCGTCTCGTCGACATCTGGTGTGGTGCGTCCATTCGGTGCGTCTGCCCATGCGGCCGCCGTTACGTGCGTTCCATATCGGTGTGGCTTGTGTGCTCCGTCTGTGTGTTCGTCTCTATGCGTTCTGTCTTTTTGTATGGATGTGCGTCTGTCTGTGCGTTCCATCCCAATGCGTCTCGTTTCTGTGCGCTCCGTCCATGTGCGTTTGTTCGTTCCGTCTTTATGTGTTGCCGTGCGTCTCTATGGGCGTCCAATTTTTGCGTGTTCCATCTATGTGTGTCCCGTCGTCGGTGCGGTCGGGCGGGGTGCGTCCAATCGCGTAGGTGTGCGGGTCGCATCCAACCAACCTTGTCACCGGTGCCAAACGAACAAACTATAGTGCACAGCCGCATCGACTGACAACTGCAAACAATCGTAAATTGCCCTCCGTGTGCCAGTCTTTCGCCGCCCGGGGCGGATTTTACTGCTTTTGAATGTTGCAGGGCAACTTCTGCAGTGCACTGGAATGTGCTACCGCCACTTAATTCAACAAAACTTTATGCACGTTTTTACTGCTACGGTTGCCGTTCGGTGCAGGTGTTGCAGTTCGCCTGCTGTTATGGTCGGTATACCACGACCGCTGAGCTCCCTCTAGCAGGGACATTGCCGATGCATATTGCCCATATCCAGGAGCCAGCTGGCGCCCTCCCCTGGGGCACCGGGGGTCAGCCGGTATCCCCCGGGTACCGACCGGCGGCTGACCAGGATCGCCACCCTGATGACCTGTCCAAACTATAACCGGAGTGATCCATAACGGCTAGGCCTGGCTGTAGGCCATAAGTTAGTATTTCTGTTGACAGGTGATGATCTTTCACCTGAAACCGTAATGTAAGAAGTGTGTAGGTTTTTACGACTAAAATCAAATGCATCGTGTCCTATAGATCACACACACCTGACATTTCTATCATTTTTATTGGCATCTATGCAGCAATCACTACTTCAATAATAGTCTTGTTTGCATCTTGATGCTCTTTATATAGCAATGCAAACAAACTTTATATTTAAAAACCTCACTCACATGTAAAGCTCGCCTTTCCTTATCTCAGGCACACTATTTGGACCAGCCCGTGGGCTCAGCAACCCACAGTGCTGAAGTTTATCTCCTGTAATACTGACTGACCCCTCGTCCGCCATTGTGCCGCAGGGTACGGCAACATGGCGCCCCGCACGGTGGGCGGCCGCATCTTCTGCATGCTGTTCGCCATGATCGGGATCCCGCTGACGGTGACGGTGATCGCCGACCTGGGCGCCATGTTCGCCAACTCGGTGTCAGCTCTGTACGAGCGCGTCAAGCGCAGCTGGCTGGCGCGCAGAGGCGGCGGCGGCGGCGGCGCAGAGGAGGAGGCCGCCGGTTTTCAGCTCTCGGAGAGGATGGAGCGGGCGCTGACGGTGGTGGTGTCGGTCATCTTCCTGGTGCTGTACATCGCCATCGGCGGCGGGCTGTTTCTGCTGTGGGAGAGCTGGAGCTTCCTCGAGTCGTTCTACTTCTGCTTCATCACCATGACAACCATCGGCTTCGGCGACTTTGTGCCAGGTAGGAACAGCTGGACGGTTGGGGTTGGTGTGTTCTAAGCCCCGTTCTGAGTTGCAACCGTGGTTCAATTTTGCAGGAAGACTGGAAGATGACTTTGTAAAGGTCTGTGTTATGCCTTTCCTGGGAGAGTTGTCCCATCCTCCTTTATTAAAAGTCACTAATAGTGAGACTGAACAAAGTTTCCTTACTGCTTGAGAATCGATTCATGATCGTCTGGTGTCATTGCTGATCTCGAACGCTCCGTTACACGGCTTCCACCAAAATGACAGAGTCCGACTGGTGTCGTTAGATAAAGTTGACCTGTCTCATGACCATTGCTGGCTTTATTTGGCCACATTGCGGGGTCATACAGTAAACGTATACTGTGTCGACAAAGACCGACTGGAGAAATCCAATATCAGGGAGAGCGGTGCTCCGGCAGCCCGTTTGTGTAACACGCTACAGCTCTAATTGTCTGACCAGTCGACTCTAATTTGGCCGCTCCACTTCACTGAGAGTGAGCTCCAATCCCACCTTCCTGCGGGTAACTCCCCAGACGGCATTTCCTCCCATCACCACACTCCGCACCTTTTCCTAAGTGGTATGACGTAGCTTTACAAAAAAATGACTTCTTTGTCTCCTCTGAGTATTTCAGTATGTGCAAAACATTATGATTGATTTCACGTATTCAAACAGAACCTAATTTTTCCTCTAAATTGACCTGACCGTGACCTAGCGCCATCACCTGACCAAGTGACCTGACAGGCTGACCTGACACCATAACCTGACGCTATGACCTGACTCTGTGACCTAGCTCCATGACCTGACCTGGGGTGACCTGCCGACAGCCAACGCCGAGTACATGCTGGTGTGTACCGTGTACATTCTGGTGGGGCTGGCGCTGACCACCACCATCATCGAGATCGTTCGTCGCCAATACGCCCAGTCCTGGCAGCAGATGAAAATGCTGACAGCACGGCTACAGGTCAGTAATTCATATTTGTGGGCTAAGAAGCTTCCATGAGCTCGGAGTGTTTCCCAATCCAGCTACATCCAAGGTATGTAAGATGAATATTTCAAATCATTATTCGTTGGGTGGTGAAGATGATGGATGACTGCCTAATTGCAGATGACTTTATGTTGTCACTTTGCAGAGCAGACCGCAGACTGTGACAAATTATGCATTTAGCGAAATGGCTTTGTGGGGGTGCGGGGGGGATAGCAGAAGGTAATTTTTTAGAAGAATTCATATGCTTGCTCGGGACAAACATTATCGTTGCATTCTACATACTCCAAATTCCAGGAATAGAGCTTTGAAGCTGTCGTCGATTTTGATAATTCATAGACAGCAGTGATAGTATCAGCAGACTGGCCGTTAGCAATTCACTGTGATGTCTCAAGAATGTGACGAAAGGTGCAAACATGGACAATCAACTAAAATATTGCGGTGATGTTGAACAATGAACATATTAATTATTAGTAGCCTTTGGACGTAATTTAATCTCTTTCTTCTATACCTTCAGTTCTTGGTACAGAGAAACAATGGTCATAACTCATAAGTTGCTTTAATTTTGCATTCATGATGTTGAATGATAAGCACATAGATTACTTATCACGGTAGAGTTCATAATTTTCTGACAGGTTCCATGGTCACACATACCTAATCTTACAATAACTTTCACGGAACCTTATGGTGAGCAGCTGGTCACTCTATCACACGAGAACAGAAGTGCCACAACTAAACTGCCCTCCTCTGACCGTGTCGCCGCGCCTGAAATAATAGCTAACTCGGCCGCTGAGCCACCTTATGACGGCCGAGTTAATGTGGTAAACAGTAGTATCCCTAAACTCTGACAGCTGAGGGGCGTCCCGTCACACTATCTGGGACAGATGGACACCGGGTGTGATATCGTGTGAGACTCCGACAGAGGCCACGTGCCGACTCGCAGCTGACCCGTCGTCCCTGACGGAGAGCCAGATAAGCGAGTTATTTGTGAGACTGTATGTTCAGCTCATGATCATTCACTAGACAGATGTATGCGGTCATATTTTCAGCTGTGGTACTATGGGTGCTTGGAGCAGAACGCTACTTTTCATGGTCGTAACCCAAACAAGACATTCAAGGCCATGGGTACGGGCAGATTTTGTTTTGTTTTGCATTTTTGACTGAAGAAAATTGGGCTGTTTTCCGTTTATATGTTTCAAATATGAAATGATTGGTATTATAACGTGACATTTTTTTCTGGGATTTGTGAGGAAAACTCGGCGAACATGTTCACGGCTCAGCTCCGATGTCCATCCTTTGCTCGGATGCAGACATTTTACCGTGATTGCATGTCGAGAATTGGGCTGTTGCGAGAGTTATCAAAGTCGTTTGCGAGAATTAGGCCGCGGCATCATATCATGATGGAGAGTTGTAGCTACCTGTGTGGGTCGCATGTTATCCAAAACTTCGGATTACAAACATAATCTCTGTTAAGTAGCGGTGTTGGTCTGATATTTACTGCTTTTAATCAGCTAAATGGAATCATTATGATTTTAAAAGGGCCTGAGCTACAGATATTTGTAATGATCATCAAATAGGCTACCAATCTGTTTTGCCGAAATACTTCAACTTTATATAACAATATATTTTAGTCATAAGTCTCAGCATCGCTTCGAGAATTTGACGATGTACGATTGAGTCATGTGAACATTTTGTTATTCACTGTCTCACAGCTATAGTAGCTGTGCCTCCTGAAGATAAAGGTGTACTCGTATTTGGCTTGAGAATCTCCTGATCCAGGTCCCTCCCCCCAAAACAAACACGCCCCTGTATTTTCAGGGTGCTACCCCCTCGAAAATGTCAGTCGACACTACATATTTGTATCAGAATTCCCTCTCACCAACAGGCAACAGCGCTAACCGCTGTACTTGCTGCCCTCCTTGCAGAGTTTGTCGGGCCCGCTGACCGACCACCTGAAGAAGCTCGGTGAGCACGGGCACGGCGTCACCATGGACGTCGACCTGCTCCGGGAGATCCGCGAACTCCGCAAAACCATGGCCAACACGAAGATGAAGGACGGCTTCGCCTGGGACGACGCCGAGCTGGACGCGCTGACGCCCCGGCCACCCGTCCTGCAAATCGTCATCTACGAGAGCAATGTGTGATGGTTCGGTGATAGTGAGCGTTATCGCGTCATCTGAGCGTCATCATCGGATGGCGGGCGACGAGACTGAGCCCCTCGAGGACCCAGTCCAGAGCCGGTCCGGACACAGTCCATCGAGAGCCGCGATAGAGGGGAGGACGGACAGTGGTCTGTGTTGGAGACACTGCTTCTCACTGCCTGATGCGTGTATGTGAACTGTTGAATGTGGAAGCGTTGTGGTGGAAGGAGTTTAGTGAGATGCGTCGTTGAGTATTAGTCTGCCGAATAGAGCACGAGATGAGTGAATGTTACCTCAAAGAGACGACACGCTAGGTTGTTGCGCGAAATGGGACGCCAGTCGACAGCGACACTGTACCGTAAAATATCACAAATGTTTTGTTGTGGTTACAAGCGACAACAACTGCTATAAAGAATGCTATACATTTAGCATGCTGTACTTTATACATTAGGAATATGTACATTGTCGCCGTTTGAGAATATCATGAAATGTTAGTTATAGCGTGCATAGTGTACGTTGCACATTGCACAATCCTGCTCGCAAAATGACAATGGTGACAGATATTGTCTGAATGTTGAATGTCACTCACGCTGTTCATATAAGCGCACTGTGCACCGATGGGCTGTCTAATAGCTGGTCACATGCGTCCTGTGTTAGGAATGCGAGGCAGAGTGACATGATTGTGTCATGGTCTAGAGATGACTTCCTCAGTGTTAGAAGTGACAAAATGGCGGTGTCTCCTGTGTCAGAATATGTGTCACGCGCCTGCCTTCACTCACCGCGAGTTGTGTCAGCCGTGTGTCAGGAACGTCACCCGCGTATCACCAGCGTATCAGTTGTGTGTGGGCAGTGCAATGTCTAGCGGTCCTTGGCGCGCGAGAGGTGGTGTTTAGGAGAGGGGTGTCCGTTCCTCATTCTCACATAGCGAGAGTAGCGGACGTGGGTCGGTCGTTCCAACTGCTCTGTTGTCTCGGCGCGACTGTGATCAGACCGTGTCGGATCGGCTGGCGCCCCAAATCACCCAGCACAGCCCTTGTGTGGTAGAAGTGCTTTCAGTGAATGAACTCACACAAATGCGCAATGCATTCAAATACACATTCACTCGTCCTGTATTCATGTCGAGTTTAGCACACGATTCTCTTAGTCCAGGGAACATACTTTGCAGTTAGTTTATTCACAAATCTACAGACTTACCGTCTAAAATCCGAAGAATGGACAAATATGTTCATCTGCCTTTCTTGGAAGTACGACTTGGTTGATCTCACGCCGATTTGCAATGACATGTGCGTTCCAGTGTAAAATGGCGATAAGACCGCGCACTGAACTGAACACACGAATTCGTGGGATCGTCAATAGCACATGGCAGCACGACTCGTGTATGGATGTATGTCGCACGGGTAAGACGTGTATGGGACTTGTATGGTGTGTTCGTATAGCTAAACAACGGAACACGCTAACGAGGTAGATAAAAAGGCACAGAAGTAGAAGAAGTACCTACAGAAGCTAGATTTTGCACAATCTTCAAACTAACTCCTAAGCAACACTGTCAACCAGCTGGGTTTTGCAAACCACTGATTGGAAGTCACCCCAGCATACATCATTGGAAAAACTAAGAAGCGTCAAATTAAGCTCTAAGGTAGGTAGTAATTTGCTGAACTTTGCATTTTTGGCTACCAAAGTTTCTACAGCAACTTCTGAACCTTTACTTGGCACGTGACTGACAGCATCACCTGGCTCTACTTAACAGCCACAGGATAAACATGTATACCTTCTTCTCACTCCATCGGCATGTGTTCGGCGGCAGGCCTGTGCCCAAGTTAGCGCGACGAAAAACAAGCTGCAGTCAGTGCAGCGTCCCGGTGTGGCCCGCGGGGCGTCTGGGGACGGGCCTCCGAGCTCCTGCTAGTCCGATACACGACCGGAGTAAATGGCTACTAACTGGATTAGTGGGAAGATGCCATTAGACAGCGGGGTTAGTAGCCGTTCGGCGCTGCACGGGGCGCATGCCGGAGTGGGAAAAAGCTCCGCCAGCTCAGCCAGCCTCGGTCGTGAGCTGGGTGTTACACAGGGGGGTTTATAAAAAAAAAAAAAAAAACGGAGCGAACCCCACACTTCCTCCTGCAGTTGAGGATGTATGTAGGTCAATGTGCGGCAATCCATTGTGCTCTGAGAAGCTACCAATGAGATAGTGAGGGCAATTCGAATTAGTAATCGCTGGGATCCATATAAAAATTATTTGCAATAGGGCTGCCAATATAATCTAATTTAAAAAGCCATTGATTGCTTAAGCGAAGATCAGTCGTCAAAAAGTTTATGATAGGCACCCGCTCGACTGCTTATAACATCACGCAGCTTCGTTACGGCCTTGTTAGTGCATGCGGTGGAAGTTAGTGGCTCCTTGTTGCGGCTTATTAGCTGATTGGAATAGTTTGTTAGAACCCTTCTAATAAAACAAAAAAGGTTGATCTAGTCTCTAATTTGGCTTGAAATTGATGTCTAACAATAAGCAAATAAAAGGTATCATGAATTGATTCAGTGAAATTATTTTCCCGGTGAGGAACTTTCCTGATTCTGCGTTGCAAGTTTCATCCGCATTATTGGCTGTTTTCTCCCTATCCCCCTTTCACAGTATTTCTAGAATGCATTCTGTGCCAAGTTATATCGCATACCTACATTCAGAGAGCCTCGCTTTTGTGGACCGCTTTCATGCTCGTCAGGCGAAATAATTAGATCAAATCACTTCAGCGTTGTGCTGTGCTCACTTCCAAGGCCCTCACTTCAGAGCCGTGTTATTTGGCTGTCAATACGACAGTGCCGTGACCAGCAGGGTCTGTTTGAGCCTCTGGCGCTGACTGTAATCCCCTGTGCTCCTGTCAGAGAGGGGAGGACGGGTCCGCCCCCACGCTCACCTCAGCGGACACGCGACCCTCCCCGCCCTGCGGACGGGCCGGGCGGAGATGGGCTAATGTGTCCGTCAGTGCGGTCGCCGGCGGGTCGGGGGGCGGGGCGCCGGACCGCCGATCAATCGGTATTCACGGACGGTGTGACCGGAGCGCCGCGACACCACCGAGCCGCTCTAATTAATGGCGCCCCGGCCGGATTCGCGCGCGACTCGGGCGTGCCGGTAAGTGGCGCGGCGCGCCGTATACACCGCCCGTGATGGACGGCCGCCCGGTGCGGCTAATTCGGCGCGGCTCGCCCACTAATTCGCCGCGACTGCGAGTGAGTTGGGCCGCGTCAGTCGTGACGTGCCGCCATCATTACTGAGCTGTTCACCCGCCCGCCGCATCATTAATGTCGCGGAACACCGCGCCGTCTGCCGCAGACCGACGCCCTATTTTGGCACATCTATGGGTCCTGGCGGCACCTTATCTTGGAAATTGGCTGATGCTACCTCATGGCTCATAGTCGCATCACAGCAGACAAAACTTATTTGCCAGTGATTTCTTCTTCTTTTAACACATAAGAGAATGCGATGAATTTCATTTTACTCACCAGTATAGCGCCTTTTGGGGCGACTAACGGAGCGAGCGAGAGGGTGAGCCTTGCACGTGCGAAATTTCGAGAGGGTACCTCCAGCTGACTTGTGCACGGCACCCTACTAACCGGTCTCTAGCGATGTGCCAAATTTGAGCACAATCGGCCCAGCCGTTCTCGAGATCTGGAAGCGGCACCCTGCACGTGCGCACGTGCAAAATGGGTCCCAACTGACTTTTGCACGGCACCCTACTAACCGGTCCCTAACCATGTACCAAATTTGAGCGCCATCGGTCCAGCCGTTCTCGAGATCTGGAAACGACCCCTGCACGTGCGCACGTGCAGCAGCACCCCAACCCTGGCACATGGATATGCAGTGCCTAGTGGGTGCCTACCTACATGCCAACTTTCAGCGCAATCGGCCAAGTAGTTACCGAGATATTGCAACAATTACAAAAGTGACACCTCTTCGTTTTGCACGTGGCACGTGCATAAGGGGTCACCCACATGCATCGAGAATAGTCCAATACTTGGTAGAAGGAATGAAGCTACCCCACAAAAATTACCGCATGTAAATCGGTCAAGTGGTTGCTGAGATATAAGCCTCGCAAAAGCGTGACCACGGCCGGCCGGCCGGCCGCTCATACTCAGAAATTTCCGTTATTCTACGTAAGACTCCGCTCGCTTCGCTCGCTCCGTAAAAAACTTCAAACGGAGGGGTTTCAAAGCGTAGGACAAGCTGCATGCCTGTCCTCATAAACACAGCCTTTTGCATGTCTTTAGTAACTTCAGATGACGGACAGGCATACAAAGCTTCTAATTGACTGACCTAGGCTGGAAAAAGACGCTTCAGACGTAAACATAAAAATACGAGACATTTATTTTGAACAATACCTATTAATTTGAACAATATTGAATGTAACAATGTAAATTGAACAATCTTAATTGGAAGCTCAATTAGTCCTCTGACTCAGACCGCCCTTTCAACATTCAACGATGATTGAGATTCTGCATTGAGAGCATTGAGCATTCTGCATCTGCTGCATTGAGATTTAGGAACTGTAGGTATGTACTTACGTACAGCCCTCAGCAGACTGCGTGGTAGGTATTCTTTTTTTTCGACAAAACCGATAATTACTCAAAGGCTTTGTCAACAGTCGGTCGGAACTCACTTCAAATAACTAGATGCGCCATGCTCCACTCCTTCGATTGGGTCTATCACTAAACAAAGTGTACGGCTTGTGTGGCAACAAAATGCAAAAGTTTGTTTTGGGGGCAAATATAAACTTTTGGGTTTTGTTGCCAAACTGGATGGAAAATGAATAAGGTGATAATGTCAATCTAGGGTGCGGAGTCTCGCGCGTCTTTCTGCTACGATTTCTGAGTGACCGATAGCATAGCATTCGCGTTATTCTCGGTTTTGTCAAAAAAAAGAATACCTACCACGCAGTTTGCAGAGGGCTGTACACCTACGGTGAAATACCTTGTCGGCAAACTACTGACTGGACGAAAGCGATTAATGGTTCACGCCTACACAGCCTTGACATGCTTTTGCTATCCTGAGCGGTTGGAAAATCACTACGTAACGTACGAATGACGGCAGTACATTATACATACACCACCTAATCGCTTTCTGAATGATCCAAAACGTACCAATGCGCCTCGTTGGGTTGTATTAAATGCTGCAATGACAAATCGGATAAACACATGCAACTACCATGTATGTCGTAAATCATGGCAGGCCCGCATTTGGTGCACAGACCAATTGTGCACGACACTTGGCGTGCCAAGGGTCTGACCGCTACCGTCAGGAGTGGACAAAAGTAGGTCAAAATGGAGAGTTTAACCCTCGCCGGCACAGGCCATTTTGCGTCCTTCGACGGCACAAGGGGGGGGGGATCGTTCGCGTTTGGCCCCTGATCGAGCTAGAGCTTCGCAGAAAAATCGAGCGTGTTGCCCGTCACGAGAGGAAGCCGATGGTACCCAATTTTAAGGTCCTAGGTCATCGGGTGACCTTCCAGGTCAGGTCAATGACCCGAAAACCGGGAAAATCGGGACCTGTTAGAAAGTCGTTAACCCGCGCCCCAGTGGCGGTCTCACCCAACTTCGCCCTAGTGAGGGGGGACATATGTTACCACCCACCTCTAACTCAAAAACTAAGAGGGCTAGAAAGACGCGGTAAAAAGCAGTCGATAGCTCTCAATGCGTACGTTTGAAAGTATTTCAGTCATTTTTCACCTTAGAGCAAAATTGGGGTCACCAGAGGTCATCAAAGGTCAAAATTTGCCAATTGTCATTATATTTTTCAGAAAACATGCCGCTATCTCAGGAACTATGGTAGCTAGAAAAACGCATGGAAGAGCAATCGATAGCTTTTGAACTCTTCTTTTGAAAAGGTCATTATCAATATTGACCTCAGGTCAACGGTTTAGCCTCCAGAGGGCAAAAACTCCAAAAATAGCTGTGTTTACGAAAAGTGTTTTTCGACAATAACTTTCGACTACAAAAAGCCACGACATTTTTATTGCCAGAATCGTGTTCCCCTTGGCGAGACGCGTCGAATGAACTATAATTTGACTTTGAAAGGTCAAGTTGAAAATTTGACCTCAGGTCAAGGTCATGACCTGACCG